GTTTCGGCGACTTCGATCTGATCGTTCCTGTGAGCCGAAGAAGGCGAAATCGCCCAAAAGTTAGCCGACAGAATCATTACCTCGTGTGCTGTTAAAGGCATGCCCCAGGATCACATTGGTGTGGCTCTTGCACACGAATGCGAATGTATTGGTGCGAAGTGGGCCGGCAGTAAAGAAAAAAGGAAAAGAATCCGTCGAAAACGCTCAGGTTAAGGGCTCACTCACCTTCCTAATCGGCTGTGCTAAGGGAATGAGAGACTAAGCGCGGAGAGGAGAGTATGAGGCGAGAGAGCGCTACAGATGAGAGAGCGCCAGACAACAGCCTGATAAGAGAAAAAATCTGCAGCTTCAGCTTACTTTGCAAGGCCCAAGCGCTCTTGTCGGTTGGTTTCCGTGCACGAGAACGCCACATTTGTGATTGTCCTCTAGGGGTCTATACTACAGACCGAAGGAAGCGTTCACACGACCTCTGCCTGGGTTGTGCCTTTAAGTCAAATAAATTCGTACCAATGAGCGCTTTTTGAAAAGTGTATAAATTTCAAGACGGTTACGAGGTCTCTTCCAACCGAAAGGTGGACGTGTAGATTGAGAGCATACTCTGTGTAGTACTAAAAGGTAAGCCTTCAAAGGAAGTAAAGGAAGAAGAGATGCTGTCATAGTCTGCTTTTTTCATGACTAGTTCGTCGTTTTTCGCTCCATTTATTGGTAGGACTCATTGATAATGATCTTTTTTTTGACTTTTTCTACTTTTTCTACTTTTGTACTTCTTGAACGACTTTTATGGTGGAGGATGGGGTAGCAGGGCTTTTTTGATGAACAGTTTTGGGGAGAATTAAACAACTTTTTCATAGTTCGGCTTTTGAAGAGGGTTGTTTCATGGACTTCGGCCTCTGGGGAGGGGGGTCGTATTCCAGAATTTTCCTCGATGCCTCGCTTGACCCTGCCACGATCTCGTGCGATGAAGGCTCATCCCATGAAATGCAGGGGCAGGTGTCAGACTTTGCACCAGTCGCTCGCAATTCGTGCGATTTGTTAGCGATTAAAAGAGTTTCAGCAATGCACTGTCGATTAGTCGCATTAGTGGATGCGCCGGCGCATTGCCCGTGCCCCTCGAATCGCTGGCGGATTGCGCGAGTCGCTTGCGATTGGTCGCAGAGTCTCCAATCTGCCTAAGCACTCGTTGCGATTGCCGCTTAGTAAGTACAGGCTTCTACTGGTGCCTTTAAACCGTACCAAATGACACACACCCATATCGCTCAATCGTAGAATCAGCGATGTTTTGCACCGCACGTTCTACATACATGTGCTGCCGGCTGCAAGTTCGCAAAGTATAAATTGAGTTCCAAGAGCGATATCACAAAGATAAATGGCAGACTCCACATTTCTTGCTGGTAATCTCAAAAGTTCTGAAAATCGTACGCATCAGTATCGTGCAAGAGCATGAAACCTGGGAGTATGCACAAAGGAGTGTGGGGGGGGGGAAGGCAAGCACGGTTATTTACTCTTGAGATATCAGGCCTCTGGGGCATACTTTCGCTCTCAATCAATAAATCGATCACCTAAGGGAGGATTCCACGTAGGTCGAAGGTCGGAGAAAGGGAGACCTACTCCACTGGAAGGACAGGCGGACCTCCTGAGGGTGTGGATTGACACGCAATTTACAGCGAAGGGGGGGGGGCATATCCTCCTCAGCGAATTGCGTGTAGTTCAACATCTGGGGCTACCTGTCTTTTTATGAAGGTGAGTTTCTCCTTCTGACATGTCCTTTCCGCGCCGTTATTGGCGCGGTACGCCCACCAATGGTCAACACTCGCCGCAGACCTCTAGCCGTTTTAGCAGAGAGGGCGATAGCGTTGAAGAGGGCAACAACGATGAGAGCCGCGCCGATGCGGAAACCAGTAGACCCCATTCCTCGGGTTGGGCCGCTCTCACGTTTTTTCTTCATCCGGCACCACTGACCACCTTTACGTTAGTTTAGCTTAGTTCTAATGGGCTGCCTTCTAATCGTAAATATTGCTTCAAAACAATGAACTGTGTTGTAAATCAGATCAGAACGAACTTGCACACATAGGTTCCATCCAATCGTCCGAATTTAGCAAGATGCGTGAAAAAAGAGGCACCTTCACTCAGAGACATTTGAAGTTCAACACTGTGTTCGAGATGAGTGCAAATGGTGGACACTTTTTTCTCGCGGCCAGAATCCTGAATAAAGCCTTATCGGAGTGCGCCATGCACCGAACACGAATATCTTTATTGGATAGAATTGTAAGAGTATCTCTACAAAATATAGCCAACCTCAGCCGTTTCAGCTGCTACTGCCATACGAACGAGATTCTCGACATTCAGACCTGATCTGTTATTCACATGACTCCAAAATATCACAGGTAGATAGAAGAACGCAGCCTCCAGAGCCATTATAAAAGGAACCCATTGATAGTAGATCAACTGCTGAGCGACTCTAAACATTAAAGCTGAAAAAATTAGTGTCAGTGATTTTTTGTGCATTCCCCGAGAAGCCGTCGCGAGCGCTTGCGAAGAGCTTGTTCAGGACAATGCCATTTCGAACGAACCTCGTGTCAACTGAATTAGGAATCTCGTCGTCGGGTCGTACCCAGTAGGTGTTGTACACAAAACAGTAATCTTCTGCATATTGCTCCCAGGCTTTCGAGAACTGAAGTCAAATATTGTAATCATTAAATTTACTTTCTTGTATATCCGCCCATTGTGGGCGATTTCGGGTAGTTAGCACTGTCCTTTTACAGAACGTAACACCCACCGCGATGGGTATAAGCCATCTCACCGATCAACACGTTGATCATCGTTACCCATTTTTCATTGTCCGCCAAGATTTGGATACGCATCGACTGAGAAATTGTGAAACGCGTAAGCGAAACGTCCGGAGCAGGCGAATTTCAGTCAAGAGTTTGATATGTATCGACTGTGAGAAACGCACAGGCGGAAAATCGCGTGAGCGAAGCGTTCGTAAGTCGATGCGTATGATACTCATTTTCGTCGATCCTCCCACTTCACGATTCGCCTGTGCGTCTTCGTTCAGTCGATACATATTTCACATTGTTTCGCCTATGCGTTTTTTCGCGCAAGCGGACATCTCTGAACAGGGCCTAGGTACTAGGATGAACGTTTGCGGAAGCGTTGCCATTGACTCCTCGAAAGGAGGTATTTCAACACCTCTGATTAAGAGAACTTCATTTCCATCCTTATCGACTGTTTCCTCCCCATTTTTTCCTTCGAAAGCGTCGATCCGTTGTTGCTTTTTAATTTATTGTCAATGATGGCTGGAGATACCTGTGCCGGTACCCAACACTGCAACGGTGAACCAACGTACTGTTTTGCAGTAATCGTCACTGATAATACCATAATCACCATCGTTGAATAGTAGTAGTTGAGGCGATTCAGTACGTAGTCATTCAAAAGTAAAAACTTAAAGGCATGCCCCAGGATCGCACTGGTGTGGCTCTTGCACACGAATGTGAATGTATCGGTGCCAAGTGGGCCGGCAGTGAAGAAAAAAGGAAAAGAATCCGTCGAAAACGCTCAGGTTGAGGGCTCACTCACCTTCCTAATTGGCTGTGCTAAAGGAACGAGAGACTAAGCGCGAAGAGGAGAGTATGGGGCGAGAGAGCGCATCAGATGAGAGAGCACCAGACAACGGCCTGATAAGAGAGCTCGTTCGCTGCAGCTCGAGCAGCTTACTTTGCAAGCCCCAAGCGTTCTTGTCGGTCGAATTCCGTGCACGTGAACGCCACATTTGTGATTGTCCCCTAGGGTTCTATACTTCTGACCGAAGAGAGAGTTCACACGACCCTCTGCCTGGGTTGTGCCTTTAATTCTCTCCCAAGCATAACAGCCACATGCTGAATCTAGTTAGAGTTGTCACTGATCAAGCAATCAAATCAGTTTTTACTAAAAACCTCTAAGTTACATATTTAACCTGGGTTTGATTGATGATACCGCCGACGATAAGAAGTTCATGGTGCGAAGTATGAACGCTGGTCGGAGCAGTAATTAAGCTATTGTTGGAGAAGAACACCCGCTGAAATCTATGAAATAATCGATTTATCGATCGC